ATCACAGCTTATCTAGTCTAAGCTGGCCATAATGCTAGTGTAATTCAGTCGTTTTTAATGATTCACGGTGTTACTAGTAGTCTCACAAAAGCTGTTAAACTTGAATTCCTTCAGAAGGCGGAAATAATATCTGTACAACTATGAATAAAGACAACACTACAATTGAGACAGTATAATATGAATTCATTGTTTCATCAGCTGCCTACAACCATATATGTATTAATGTTTAGGATTGAGGTAAGATATAATGTAAAACGGTTGACATTGATGACAGAATGAATCAGAGGTCATTTGAAGATGGAATTCAACAACAAGGGGTCGGGTGAGGCAGTAATTAAATGATGTCTTGAAACAGATAAGATAGATTGTATGATAATTGTAGAAGTTGTGAAGAGTTTGCATAAGATTCAAATCACTTGAAAATATATGTAAAGGACGTTTAGTGATGAGTTGTTAATGGTCACGTAATAATTATACAGGACTTCAAGAGTTTTGACAGTGAGGACACTCATGGGAGTATTGCCGTTTGAAAGTCTTGAATAAAATAAGGAAAAGTTTTTGATGCGTTTCTATTTGAATACAAAATTCCGCTCAGGGACTGACCAGTGTGTCAACAATCAGTCTGACGATTGAGTTTGCCGCCAACTTCGCTTATCTTGGATATCTGTCCAACCAGCTGTTTTTTCTGTAACTAATGGAATTTTGGTATGTGGATAAAACTCACTTGAGTTTTGCCGAATAGTAATACCTGTAGCGTTGACGAGATATTTTCCTACATATCAAAGGACGAGTATATTGAAAACCAGTTCGGTCCGTTGTTTAGCTGTAAAATAGGGCCTTTGATGTCAGAAGAAATCCACAGCTTATTAGCAGTTGATCCTAGATGTCTTCGAATCACCCGAAAAAAGAATTCGCTGAAGTTGTCTATTTTGTTTTGTAGCGTAGCTTTGTATCGAATTGTCTGAGCAATGTATTTATCTCAATTTAATATTTGTTATACTTTATTTATATAATCAAATGAGTCGTGAGTCTAAGTAGTAGATCTGTAGTTGTCATTTATCTGACCGAATGTTTTGTCTGGGGATTTTGGAATATGGGCAAAAACTAGTTTCCTTTAAAAATCCAGAGGATTTTGTTTTCTTTAGTATAATTTGATCCCACAAGTCCAGGATACAAAACTATGAGTCAATAATGTTCAACTATGTCCTTGAGGTTTCAGTTTATTCTAGTAGATAATTCTAATATTGCTGAATCACGAAGTGTAATGAATATGTTCTTCGTTTTGCACACGATATGACTAAATTTTGGAAGCTGTGAAAGCGTTTCTGTACTACTATAAGTAGTAAAACAATGTAGAGATAATATTTATGTAGTTGTATCACCATAAAAAAAGTGACAAGCATTTAGTGAAAGATTCATTGAAATTCTAGTTTAATCCGTTACACGTCCTGTTGACCTGTTGTAATTAATATTTTTGATTAGAAACCGGAGACTTAACATGGAGAAATGATATTTTTTAGGTTTGATTTGATTAAGTTACAATTTAATAGAAACAGTTGGACGTATGTAATTTATTTATTTATTTGAACACATATATATTGGTACAGGAGTGCGCCAAATATATATGCGCCACACAAAACAATGAGAATTTAAGAAGAAGAAAAAAGTGGGGAACGTGGAAAAAAGATATAAAAAAAACAATAACGAAGTGATTGGTGTAAGGTAGTGTAATAATAATAGTAATAGTAGGGGAACAGAAGGGTACAATCAGAAGAAATCTTTCAGTTAAGGAAGATACAACCACGTTTTATGAAGAAAGTAAAAGAAGGTTACAGCATGATCGCCACTGTCTTCTATTCTGAGCCATATCTGATAACGTCTCTAGCCACTGTGTTGTACCATCTCTCGGACCCCAACCCGGGAGTCGTGAAGGACCGACACAAGCCAGCCCTTTGCAGCTTTCTTTCATACCACGACACCATGTCACATACTGACCACCTCTCCGCTTTCTCCAACCAGTCTCAGTGTCGGCAAATAATGCACGACGTGGAATTCTCTGAGACGACATTCATAGAACATGTCCAAGCCACCGAAGTCGGTGTTTCAAGATGGTGACACCAACTGGATTATCGTCTCTGTGCCCGAACACACGATGCCGAACCTCTGCATTACTAACATGGTGTTGCCACTGAATGTCAGCAATCCTTCGGAGACAACGATAATCGAACACAGAGAATCGTCTAACGTCCTCAACTCGGAGAGGCCAGGTTTCACAAGCATAGAGCAAAACTGCTCTCACCGACGCGTTGTAGATCCGACATTTTACAGCCAGACTAACATCACGAAGGCGCCAAAGGTGGCCCAGGTTGGCATAATCCGCTCTGGCTTTCACTATACGTGCATTAATCTCATCACTCACACCCCCACCAGCGCTTATGCAGCTACCTAGATACACGAACTTCTCGACTATTTCTAACTGCTCACCATCCAGGGTGAGTACAGGATTGGAATCCTGCCAGTCTTGTAGAAGTACTTTGGACTTCGAGGGTACAAAGCACATACCGTACCTACGGACATTGATTGCCAACTGATTAAGTGCGGATTGCATGGCTTGAGCATTATCGCACAGTAAGACAATATCATCCGCATACTCAAGGTCGAGAAGTCTTTCTCCAGGCAACAGATCCACACCGCTATTACTTACATCCATCAGAGCTGTTTCCAGAATGTCATCGATGGCAAAGTTGAAGAGGAATGGTGAGATTGGGAAACCCTGTCTAATCCCACTGCTCGAATGGAACAATGGAGAGAGGTGGTTGTATGCCCTCACTCTGCCTGAGGTGTTTTTATATAGGGCTTTTAGAATGTTAATGAATTTCTCAGGCACATCCTTCTTCAATAGACAATCCCAGAGAACAGTCCTGTCCAACGAATCGAAGGCAGCCCTGATGTCAAGAAACACTACGATTGTTGGCCTTTGAAAAGTATGACGGTGTTCTAACATTTGGCGGAGGGTGAAGTTATGATCAATACATCCTTTACCAGAACGAAACCCAGCCTGCTCCTCGCGAGTCAATCTTTCTCGGGTTTTGAACAACCTACGAAGTATGACGGAAGCCAATAGCTTGGACGCAATCGGAAGTAGACTTATCCCCTAATAGTTGTTACAGGAACAACGTGAACCGTTTTTAAAGATAGGGACAACTATCGACTCATTCCATGACGTTGGTACACTCTCTAGTTCCCAGACTTTTGTAAACAACGTCGTCACTTCCTTAGTCAGAAAGTCACCACCATCTTTAAAAAGAGTCGGAGGTAAGTCATCTGGGCCAGGTGATTTGTAGCGTTTCAAGAGTTGGAGTTCCTTGCGGAGTTCCGCCTCATTTGGTGGATCAATCGTCACCGGCCATGGAGGGCAGGACAGTCTGACCGATGCTGCCGGAGCAGCAGGTCAGTTGAACTGCCCTTCGAAAAATTCTGCCCATCGTCCAAGACGTCGATGGATGTTAGTGATTGGCATCCTGTCATCCTCACAGGTTGTTTCGCTCACACCAGACTTCTTGCTGCCAGTGGCCAGTGGGTGAGTTGGAAGAGCTTCCGGTAATTACCAGATGCAGCTGCTGCTTCCAGCTCATTAGCACGCTCCGACCACCAGGCTTCTCGGTCCTTACGCAAGCTTTGCACAATTTCACTACGTAACTGTTATGGCTTTAAGTTTGGGTCGATTTTTACCCTGTGCTAATTGTTGTGTCCTTGACTGGAAAATTAGAGAGCAGCGTACTTATCGATCGATTACAGTGACACGTAAACACGTACGGACGGCCTAGAGTCTCGGTTGGTCCCACGTCCCTGTCTAGCCCAGCCTGTTGAGTCCAGAACACAAGTCACAGCCTCGGAGATATGGATCATTATATTCCAAACATACTTTGTTTATATACCAATCAAGCATACCTCATCGTACCATAAAAATAGGAAACAACATTTTGTACAATATTCAACAAGTGAACAGATATCGACCAAATAGGAAATGTTCATCTAAAGTCCAAGGACACCATTGAACTTAACATGATAATTATTGGTCTATTCCTCCGCATCCACAACAGTAACAACCTTCGTTTGTGGTCAAACTCACGGTCACCCGGAGTAGACCGACGGGCTTCAATGGGTTGTAAGGAACCAGAAGAAACCCAGTGCTTATAAGCGGGATGTTCCGCGAACCCACAACTAACTGTACCCACCATTTTCATAGCGTCATGCAACTGCAACCAATGCTCATCTATACTTTTCGGTGGAATGGTAGCTAGCCCAGAAGCTAGCTCGGTTCGATACTTACTTGCAACAGAAGTTGCAACCAGCTTGCTAACATCAATCCGTTGGTGGCGGTCACTTCGTTGGCCACTGAAAAGTAAGGTAAGATTGGCGCAGACCAAGGCATGGTCAGAGTCTAGATAGGTACTCCAAAAGGAGCGGCAGTCTTGTACACAACCACGCCAGCGGTAGCTGATCGCGATGTGATCAATCTGAGTCCAGGCTTGAGATGCAGAGGTTGGACGCCTTGTGGCACATCGACGATGACTGTGCCGAAAGTTAGTGCTAGCCAGAAACAGGTTGTGGTCTGTGCACAGTTGCCGTAGACGGTCCCCGTTATCTGTCCTGCGACTAACAAGTCCCCATCGGCCACCTAAACGACCCTCTTCTGTGCCTAGACGCCCGATCTGAGCATTCAAGTCTCCGGCTAGTACTACAATATCTGTCGAACGCACTTTCTGGAGAAGAACAGATAACTGGTGGTAAAACTCATCCTTGATTGCATCCGGGCTGCAATCTGTCGCGGCATAGGCGGAGATGACGAAAAGACATCGTTTCTCACTTTGATGGAACTCTCTAATCCAACAGCACATAACCGGCTGTTAATGGGGATCCAATCGACTAGTGCTGCCTCAGCTCTAGCGCTTAGTGCGACCCAGCCAGCAAGACCAGACGAAGATGCCACAGGGTCCCCGGATAAGCGCACGTAAAACAAGCTTTTTGAAGTGACAGATGGAGATCGAATTTGTAGTACTTCACCAGAGTCTTGGATACGGGTCTCGGATAGACAGCAGACATCGATATGAAGACTTTCCAAATACATAGCCAGCCCTATCTGTTGTCCGACCTGCATAAATGTGCGAACGTTGAAGGCAGCCAATTTGAATGGTGCACGTGGTTTCAGAAAAACTGCTTCAGTACTCATATTCGGTGGTAACATACAATTTTCAACCGGACAGTGACTCGAGAACGTTTAGATACAGTCGAATTTCCACTATAGACGAGCTGCTGTATAAGTCGAAAAAAATAAGTATAAACAGAGTGGGAATAAAAGAGGGTGAATAATGACGTAGTAAATAATAATAATAATGATAATAATAATAATAATAGCAATAATAATAATTGAATCATTTGAATGTTCGTCGAAGCAAGAGAGTTAGTTTCCATGATCATAGACAGTTCAGTTCATTAATTGCGTGTGGGCTGTGATACTGCCCGGGTGCCCAGACCGAAGCAGGTGGTTATCTTAGGGGGCCACACCCCGAGCCTTTGACCTAAAGGTCTAACCCACAAGGCAGTGGGGCATCGTAAGGAGATGCAGTCCCATGGTAGCCAGTGACCGAAAATTGGTTCATACGCCATTTGTTCCCGCAGGATACTGGTGCCCATGTGCACCATAGATTTGGAATCCGGTTAAAGCGCCGGACATTCGCTTTTCGTTCTCTCATTTTTGTAAACAACACCCCCGCCACGAGAACGCAGTGAGTAGGATTTCCCTGACAGAGGCCTTTATGCGCGCGGCCGCGTGAGAGTATTTCGAGAGGGAGGGCGAACACACCCCACTCTCGGCCATACCAGGGTATTTGGTGGCGTATGTAATTGAACAGAGTTTTCGTCCACTAACTTTCATAGGTGTTTATTACATCGCTTGTACATCCAGAGAACATACTTTAAAGATATCACTCACATCATTTGTGCCATTCATACTATATTCATATAGATGGGATCATCAGCATCGCAATCTAGAATTAGAGCACTTTGGATCGAATTAGTCATAAAGGTCGGAAACAATGAATTTGTAAACTTCTGTGGCTATAATATTCGATAACGGTTAGTCTGTTGCTTCATGATTATTTATAGAGGATATTCATAGGTTACTAGTGTTCAATCGTAGTTGTCTGTGAAGCATATGTCGTATATTTTGGGCTGACCGAGTAAGTAATGCTTAGGTTAGGAATATGGTACTAGGCAAAAACGGCAAATCGGTTGATAATATAGTAAATCTTCATCAGCTGAGGTGGTTGTGACATGTGTTACATATGGCCAACCACTGACTCTTGACGGGCGATGTTGTCTGGTATAGGAGTGGGCTGGAAGTAAGCTAGGGGTGGTCAAACCAAAACATGGCACCAGTCCATGAAGTCATCAACAATAGGACTGAAGTATGCTAATGGGTGAAGACTATCTGGTTGGGGTCTGTATGAATATCGTTACCGATGGTTAGAGACTTTGAATGTCATGGCTGAAAACCACTTGCAAAGGCTTAGCTATATCCACTATTTGTCTTTCTCTATATTCTGAGCTCTTGAATACCTCATAACTTTTCTTGTGCCTTCATTCGACTAATTTATATTCTCTCGAATAGTATCTCCGATGCCTAATCTTTCATATTATCACTGATATTGTTACTACCTCTACTGTTCTGGGATTCTGCCCGAGAATTTCATCTTGGTATACCAATGTGGTATGGCAATTTGAACCGAGGTACAGAAGTACCAGGTCCTACGTTGCGACTGACTGACTGAACAGTTGTAAAATTTTCGAAACATTTTCTCTATTAAGTGTTGATCATGGTGGTGTACTGTTGCTGATGACGAGGTTTAGCTAAAACAAAACAAAAGTTCATTACTATTCATGAATAGAATTGAATATAAGTTTTTAAATACAAAGGCTTACAAATTCTATGGTTTACTTAAGTTATCAGTGTGGTTCAAGCTGTTCGTGACAAACATATTAAACTAATACATCATATTCGTAATATTTGACCCATAAACCCATACCATTTAAAGATTGAGTGATCACTACATATTTTATATCTTACATATCAATAAAAGTTGATAATTTTAAGAGAAGAGATATTTAAACAATGTGGTTTGAATCGATTTCCATATGATGCGTCAGTTTTTGCTACTGAAGAGCCTATTATTAGTTTGATATATTAGTCAAAAAATATGAAGTTGGATTGTTTGTTAACTTATTAATACGTCATTAAATAGTCATGTTTCTACTGACATAATATTATATGACTAATTTTCTTTATCCATTGCTTCACTATGATAGTGGAATCAAGAAGACTCAGCTAACTGTGCAACATTTTAATGTAAAAATTGTCCTGTTCGTTAGTTTTATCATGAGAGCTCGAAAAAAGTTATGGGCGTTCATTGCGTTCCCTCTAAAGATTTGTCAAACGAATTCACTTGTACATGGTGTTTTCATTGGGATCCAAACCCTGTACAAACAAATTACTATACAACGGATAGTTCCCCAAAGGATGTGATTCTTGTTAAGGTCGTTTTACGACAATTTACATCACTAATTGACTTAAACCAGTCAATCACCGAAAGTAAGAGAATAACAGAGGTTTGTTTTATCTTAGCATCTGATTTGTGAACTCATGATCTCCACAAGGATCAGACTTATAACTTTCAGCTCTCGAGGCAAGTAATCTACCTCTAGACCACTGATTCAACACTCAGTGGTCCTCGAGACTTGAAATTCCTCAGTTCAATTCCCTATTGGATCTAGAACACCACACTAGAAGGGAATAAATATCCAGTACTTTCTGGTACTCTATAGTTTTCTTCCACCAAAGCTAGTTCGTAATATAAACTACTTTTAGTGATCGTCAGTATAGGGTTGTGGAGATTATTGAATTTCATTGAAATCACGAACCGAGAAATGTTGGACAACCACTAAAAGCCTGGAAGGACTGGATGGACATTTCGTTTTAGTATGGGACTCCTCGGCAGTACGCATCCACGACCTTACATCCGGGAATAAGGCACAGGACCATCACTCACTCACTAACACTTGACTACTAGACCAGTGAGCCAAGATTCAATGGTGCACAAATCTAATTTGAATCAGTCTAGTATTTCGATTATTTTGTACGCACTGATTGATCTGATCAGTGAATTTTCCGATTGCTGAAATGTAAATTGTGTTAAAATTGACCAAACCACTACAAATAAATCTCTATTACTTTCATTTTCATAAAACAAGATGATTTGAAATAAATGTGAATAAACCAAAAAATACTACAGTCGTTCAGCAATATAGTAATAATAAACATAGAATGTGTGTGAAAATACGTATATGCAGATCCTTTTTGTAAACGATGAGCTTTACATAATTGATTCTTTACAGTTCCTTTGTGTTTAAAGCCAGATGGATTCTAATACAAATACTCTTATCTCTACTTCGATCACTGATCCTATGAAGTTTTTACATCGTATGTAAATTTGCTTTGTCAAATGTTCTTAATTTTATTAGTGTCGAGAATCTGGTTTATTATCTTGTTAACATACAGTATCCATAAACTATTTAGCAATGTAGCTGAACTTGGGTAAAGTTCGACTCACATCTCAAAGTGCCCAAGGGATAGTGTAACTTATTTCACAAATTAATGTGAGCGACTAGGCAGAGATCGGGCAAGTCCCCCACTCCATCGTGAATATGGACTACCTGAAAGGGGATTGAGGTATGGACCAGTTTGAAATGCAGGACTGGAGAAAAAAATCGATTCTTTTTATTGCCTAATTAAAGTTTTTCCGGAAGGGTCGACAAAGACCATAAACTATACCTTGAACAGTGTACACAGGTTGACATTAAACGTACTTGCATGAAGGAGGTAACCATCAACTTACAACCCGATTTTTAGGTAACAAAACCAAGTCGCAAATATGCTTAAGTGTATACTGTGGATGTAGAGACCTTGGTCTATACATTCGCTATATGTATGTAACATATACTTGGGATTGCGCACATCTATTCCTGTGTGTACTGTGGAGTGTACATGTCTCCGACTTGTGCATTATATATCTACATGTAGTATTAGATTGCGACGTTATCCATGCTCTATACTGGTGTATACATGATAGCTCTCAGCACTTTTAGGTTGTTACAAAGTTTCTGAATAGGAAATGCAACTGTACAGAAGTGGACAGCTAACGTGTCCGTTTGCTTCACACAAAATATAACTGGATCAAAGTCTCTACTTACACACAAGCTGTACCAAAGTAAACTGCTAACTTTTTCGTTTGTTTTACTTTCTCCAGCACTTTAGTCTCACACATCTTTACAAAAGCTTTTTCTTTTCCTAAAGTGCAGGTCGGCTTTTCTACTTAGTTGGCGGGGTTAAACAAACCAAAACTGTTCATAAACTATTTAACAGTGCAGTTAAACTGGAAGAAGGCCTACAGCTAATCTAACAAAATGCTAATTATATTGTGTTGTTCAACGTAAATGGAATATAGTAGTAAAGAACCTTTTTTTAAATAATTTCCGAATTTAGTGCTACAAAACAGCCGTCCATCATGCCTTTTATAAACGATAACTGTTATCTAAAGAACACTATGTCGAAATTGCTTAATTTTTTTGGTCTACTTTTAATTCTCAGACAGATTGGCCTTTTCATATTACGTACCGTGTGAGAGAGAAAGAGTATTTAGTGTGTCCTGTTTCGTTTTCATCTTTGGATTTACCTGTATTAACTGATATAAGGACATATCAATATTCATTTTCACTTTATTCTTTTGCTTCGAAATGGCACTTTGACGACCCCAGTAGGAATCGATCCCAGGGAGAACAATGTACCACATAGTTGAAAACCTACCGTTCATATTTACAATTTTAGTTAATTCACTGTATAACTTAACCAATGTTATGATTGAGACTTCTCTGCCCTACTAGATCTTCGGGAGTTTTATTTTTAAATTTAGTTACTAATATATACGTACATAATCATAATTATTAATAAGATTAGGATTTCTGTAGTATCTTCAATTAAAGGTTCGTTTTCAACATAATCACTTTTAATTTATAGCAAATCTTACAAAGGTACGATTATAGCATAATCTCATTCATTATCCAGTTTATGGATTTAAAACAAAAAGGGAAGGTAAAAAACGTTTACTTTATTTAAAATAGGGTATACATATATGTCTACATATTATATATAGGCGAAATAATTAAACTGTGTTAATCAAATAAATTTATGAGATAATATATAAATATACTAATTACAAGTGTGTTCGCATTTGATTTCGACTAATATTTACACTATCCGAGGATACAATAAAGAATTCATCAAATGACTGCAATTCATCTTTTGGTATATAATCTGGATTGTGAGGATCATAACCGTTTTGTTTATCTTTATGAAAGAAATCAATATTTCGCCAAACTGCTATAGCGTTCACAGTAATTAAAATGAGAAATACAATGAGCCACTAAAAGTGATAGTAAAAATAAAAATAAAACAATCAAAACAGTTCATGTTATTAATTTGTTTAAAATATATTAGTAATTTCTACAGATATTTGTATATTTTAAAGTTAGTTTCTATCATTAACTGCTATTAAAAGAGAAATTTTTCAACAGTAGAGAGTAGTTGAAACATCATTGGAAAAACAGAATACTAGGTAGCTGTTTAAGCCTTAGAAATTTTAGCTTGTGTAGGAGTAAGTTGAAAGAAAACTAGGGATGAATACAGCGAAATTTGGAATCAGTTCGTGAAATCATTACCAGTTGTTATGAGCCTTGTTAGTAGATACAGACTACCTATTTGGGGCCCTATATGATGATACCTATCAGTAGTTAGAGATGCTGGATGTTTTCGCTAAGAATCAGTTACGTTGGCCCAGATGCATTTATTTGTCCTGCTCTAAATCTTGGATTTCAGTATTCCGTCATATATATATTCCTTATCGAACCATATTTTAAATCTTTCACATTATTGTTGCCGCTACGTTATTTCGATTTCTTTGTTATTTATCTTAATAATTTCATCTCGTCGTGCTAATGTAGCATGACAGCTTAGGCAAACACATATTTACCAAAGTCTACGTTGATTATGATTGAGTAATCCTAGCAATGTGCACATATGATTTCATGCACTAGTAAACCTAACACCAAGTTTTCCAACTTTTATGAGTTAGAGTTGAGTGGATCACATGTCGAAATTCAATCAGTTTGTGGTAAAGCTCACTATCAGTGATCCAACATTTTCCTTCCGAATTACCAATGGAAAGTGTGTTGCTCAAGTTATTTGGGTATTTTAAAGCATTCTCAGGTTTGCAACAGTTCTCACTGTTATGCTAAGTTCATGATGAAAGTTAATAATAAACACTGTCATCACTTTTAATAAAAATTTCATTTCCAAAGAAAATTCAAAACAGAATTTCGAAACAGTGTCTGTTTTACCTCAAGTAATGTAGTAGTCATTGAATCCAAAGTAAGTTGATACCATTTAGGATTAGATTTTATCAAATCATATGCCCACCAAATTATCAATCCGGTTCCGGATAAAGGTACCAAAACACTGTTGATTAGAAACAAATTAAAGGCTTCGTTATGAAAAGTTAGGTTTTCAAAATAACAACTAATTTAAGAAGTATGTTTGCATGATAATTTGAAATCCAGATGTGTTTTTATGTTCTAGTATACATTTAAGTGACGTGGTATAGTTGATTTGCAAAACAATTTATGAAGTCCCTTTATCATATTAATGTAATAAATCTAAAGTTACCAATAAATCTTTTCAGTTCCTACTGTATAGCAAAATTTTTATGAAAGCTTAAGATTGTGATTTAAAAATAGGAATAGCATGTTCAGTGAGAAATGTAGTTAAGATCGGGTTATAACACTTTTTAGTAGTTTATTATCTTGTTGTTCTCATGTTAGCACCAGAAAATACATTTTCATTTCATAGTCTTGATTTGACTCATACTATTTTGACTATGATTATCGTCAAAAACTGACATCAGCCGAGAAACCAAATATTCTGTCCTATTTGAAGACACCTTATCAATCTGCGTCTACGATCCTAAAACGCATATTTAGTTGCAAGGATCTTAATTACTGTAATGAGCACGATATCTTCAAATAATTGAGTTGAGATTCATTCAGTTGATTCTTAGTGTAACAAAATGCCATGGTCTATATACTTATTAGTTCCAAGATATAGCCCTGCTATGAATGACTTCATGAACTGATGATGTTTATTCGTATAAGCATTCTCGTTCTTTTATTCTATTTCAATGTTAACCACTGTTGCTCCTCCATGTACTCAGTGACTAAATATACATAAAATTGAAATATACATTTATCAACTGTACTTTCGTTTGTTATAGTTTTATCACCAGTTGAAATAAGCTTTAATTTATAGAGTATCTCCTTTATCATATGATATGTAGCTTGTTAATTTTGTTCTCAAAATGTAAATCTCTTTCTAAGCAGGTTTTTTGTTTTCAGTAAACATAACAACAAACTGTTCTTTTTATCTTCTTTTGTTATAAAGCTAACTATATCTGATTCTTTCCTATGATACAAGTTAAGAAGGAAATTAGGATCAAAACACTAATTAAACATTTTCTTAGTTAAATTTAATATTTAAACATGTTTCTTTTTGATTTATTACAGTATGGGATTATGACGCATTAACAAATGTGAAATAATGAAAAGTATTTCGTAATTTTAAGAATTTTGATAGAAAAAAATTATTCCTAAAATGTAATTTCTATCCGATTTCTGATAATGATTGATTGTTTTAAACTTAATCACGCATATAGCTTGACGATAGATAGAAATCGATTTTATAAATATTTCACTGCATTTTTCTTTTCAAAAATTTAATAATAATATATTTTGTGATATTCATAATTTTATAGTTGAATTCATGAGTCAATTGAAACTAGACCACCATGGAAAACCTGGAAGCATTGAACGGCCGTTTCGTAGAGTTCAACCGGCTCTGCTGTGAGATAGTAACTTAGTGAAGACAATGTTGGATGTTGGCTCAATTTCGTGGATTTGTTGAAGTTAGACATTAACGCCACTGGATGCCCGCTCAGTGGTCTAGAAATTAAGCGTTCGCGCGCGAGACTGATAGCTCCTGGGTTCGAATCCTACGGTGCGGGTTAGCGGATGAGCACTGCTGAGGGGTCCCACACTAGGACGAAACGGCCTTCCAGTGCTACCAGGTTTTCCATGATGATCTAGCTTTAATTGATTCATGAATCCAATTATAAAACTACTTAAGTCTCTTCAAAATCCTCTTCTGATAATATTTGTCATTGCTTAAATAAGATATTTTGAATAAATGAAAAAAAAAACAGTTCCAGAGTTTAATTTGGTTTAAATAATTCAGTTAATTTATATTTCTCTGTTGAATTTCTCTGTTGAAAATTTCATTTGTCTAAATGAATTAATCTTATAGTTTTTATCAAATTGTCTATGACATTATATACACTAAGTTTAACCTTACACCTTTTCTCTGATAATACTTATGCTACTTTGGATATTATTTGTATTTTAATTCAATCTGGGAAATTTGTTCATCAGTTTGTTGCTGTTGTTAGTTGTGATTGATAACAATGACAAACCTAAAATCTCATATTGAGAAACGATTTTTCTTCATTACAGATTGATGTTGATTTCAGAAAACTGTACAATATTAGACAATTTTTTTGATCTAATTCCGATCTTAGTATTGTACGCTGAAAACCCTATATGAAGAGAAGCCAAATACTTATGCTGATTCAGATAAGTTGAAAGCATTGAACGGGAATATAGTGGTCTATAGTTAAACCTGAATTTAACTCACGGCATAGTGACTAACATTTATCATTAAAATGATAACTGCCGTTGTTTTGTTGATTAACGGCCTTCACAATATGTCACCCATACATCCTCAATTTTTATATGAAAATGAATCGTGGTTGTCCAGTTCTGAAATTCTTAACCAGAACAAAACAGGTTCTCAACACTTCCTAACTTACTATAATTCTGAAGCTAATTAATAATTAAAAATCACTTATCGATCACTTAAATACCCATAAACGTTATTCAGATAATTGCATATTTATGAATTGGCTCATTCGGTCACTCATAGTTCTGTGAAATATTAACCACACACGTGACAGGAAAAGTTTGTATATACTAGGTTTTAATTACATAGGCTTTTTGATATTATTAAATGTTTAATGACAGGATTATTATGACATTTAACAAACCTTATCATAAAGACCCAAACAACTGGAAGTTTCCAATCATCGATTCCAAAATCATTAACAATGACCCTTCTGTATTTCATTGGACCATAAATTATTATTAGACCAGCCATAGATAAACCGGATAACATAAGTGCAAAACCCCAAACATTGTCCTACAAAATATCATTAATATTTAAAGACGTGTGCATGATATTATTGCTAACAGTATTAAAAAGTTAATCATAGTCGACTATTATAAAAGTGCTTCTGAAGCGAAATTTAAATTATTATTTACCACTCGATATCTGCGTCACTGCAACAGAGTTAGGAGCAAGTTGGTTGTGGTTTTTAATAATATTCTACATTAGTAACATATTTTAGTTCCTTCTATAATCTTCTCAACCACAGTTCTAACATACCACTGGGGTGGACTGTAGTTTGTGTTATTAACAAATGTTCAATCATATTAGCCAAAAAATTAGTGACCTATTTGAAGACTTGTATGTCTGTTAAGCATGCCACATCTATCAGTAATGTTGCTCACTTTGTTGTCTCACAAGTTAGACAGGATGTAATTTAAAGATGTTTTTACTACTTAACATTTTTTAAAAATTTATTGCGATTTGAAATTAAACCTAATCCTCTTCAAATTTTTCCATGACGATCATCTTCCAGTTTTGCCATTGTTAAAAATGCTATCATTTTCATACCAATTTCAAGGTTATTGAAAACGTATTTATATATAAAATGTATTGGCCTATTTTTCTTATTTCGTGTATTCAATAAATCGTCTACTCAGTAAATGAGAATTATACTAGATGATGGCTAAGGAAGAGAATAGGGATTTATCACTGCTTACTGATTAAAACGTTTAGGTTTACAATATTTCAAACATTGTGGGGAAGTAGCAAATAACTGCTTGGTACATCTGATGTAATTTAGTAGAAAGGGAATAAGTTGTTTTGCCTACCACGAGATCTAACGATACAGCAGTGGCAGTTAGTCAGAAATTAGTATTCTGTATTTTGCAAACCGAACGTTTTTGAGATAAATATTCAAGTACCAGAATTTTTTGACATCGTTACTTAGTACATTCATACTCTTTAACTACTAATTTAGCTGGATTTGTTGGTGGAAGACCAATACTTTGGAAGCAAACAAAGTTTACTTTTCAAAGGCACTGATTTAAACAATAAAATAAAATCTGTTCATGGTTTTTGTGCCAATGCAAGTTATTAGAGTGAAGTGGAAGACATTTTTATAATTCACTATCTGATGATCGCTGTAAGACTTAGTCGACACGCCCACAACCTAACTTGAAATGTATTTTATCTAAACTTGTTGTTCTGGAACTCAATTAGGAAGCTGTAAGCTAAATTAAATCTTAATTGGTTAGCATATACCGCGTTGGACTCTTGAAGTGTTCTGCCTGAGTCATATTTGATTTTTATCTAAGTCAATTGACACATAACTCTTAGCTATGAGCTTGTAGCATCTCTTGTGTAGAAGGAGAAGAAAGATGATTTCATTTAAAATCTGCAGATCAGCCCCACTTACTACCTGTTAACATCATGCAGTCCCTGAAAACTCTAGGATAGTATTCATAATCTAGTGAATCCTTATGTATAAAAGTTTAGCTCAGGAAAAATCTTACTGATACTAGTTACATACCGTATTTGTTGAAAATACTAGGTATTTACAGAAACGGATGCGTATCTTAAATAGCTCACTACTGAAAGCTGTCCGAAAAACACACATAATATACGAAAATTTGAGTGATAAGCATATTACCGTAATTACAAGAACAAACACGAAATCATGAGAGGAAAATGTTTTTGAAAAAGCTAAAACAATAACTGAATATAAAACTAACCTGATTTGTAAGAACATTTATACTAATTGCAGAAGGCATACCAAATACAAGAGTGAGGAATAAACCAGCAAATGCAGCTTGTCTATGACTTACTATAATAAAAATAAGAAGTTATAGTACGAATGTTTTCTCTAAATCTATAGACATTAATCAAAGAACAGTTAGAGACAATTCGTAAGTAAATTATGGTATATAACGTTTATAAATTTAACTGATTAGGAGAAATTTTTTTAAATAGACCATTTAGCTCTGAAGTAAACAAATAGCTTTCTTTGCCAAACAGTTGATAAATGAAGGAAATGAACTTTACTAATTTGGTGATTTAAATGATTAATTGAGAGAGAGAATATAAGACCGATTTATTAAGTAGATTTTATTTATAAGAAACAATTATTTATTCTTTATCTTTAAACGGTTTTTACGGAAATAACTAATCACTAGATTAATGGAAATTTCATTTTCTCTGAAATTTATTTTCACCAATGACTAAGGTTATTGGGGAGTCATTGAGAAATTAGAAAACACTAGAAAGGGGTGTCATAATAGTATGAAACTTTTCAGCAGTGCACCATCCTAGACTCGATATAGTGTATGTACACAGTATTGACAGTTTCGAAACCATGTCACAATAGTTATCCAGTAATCCAGTTATATAGGAATCATCAGCTTGTAACAAATTTTGGCAAAAATCAGTTTCAATCTTGAAGAGAAACTCGGAAATCTTTTAAAATTAGAACCTCTGTTACAGCGGAAGACGTTAACATCGAGCTAGTTCGGTTGTGATTGACCCTCTGAAAAACATCTTCTTATCAATTAATTTTAGTGGTCAAAAATCTGACTTCACTAAATAATCACTGATTAGCATTAGGAAAATGTTTTTAGTCTTTAGTGATGATTAGATTATATCAACTATGTAGATTTACAGTGTTTATCATGATTCACCATGCTTATCATCTTTAGGATTGGAGTTACGTCGCTTTATTTATACGAATCTAATTATGACTATGTGGTCATGATTTTTACCTGATTATGTTAAGGGTATAATTTGAAATATTCAGATGAGATAACAAAATGAAGGGGTTTTTCAAACTTACAGCCCAAGTCCTTAGCTGTTACAACTGTTAGTTGAACATGACCAATCAATGAAGTAATCCCCGCGAAGGAGAGACATAAGAAGAACAATGAACAGAGAACTCTTCCCAGACCACCAACATAGGCGAATAGGACAGGGATCCTTTAATAAATAAATAATTTGTATATTTAGTAACATTATAATGCCTAGTATTATTAGTGTTGTTGGAGTTAAATTTTGAAATTAATAAAATTATTTGACACTGATTAACAAAATAAGTACATTTAGAACCGATGTTTTGTATAATGTGCAATTGAATTGCTGAAAAAGCAGAAACACAATCAAAGATAAAACTAAACTGATAGCTCAATATGTATACAAAAATAATCGAGTATTCATTACCAGGTAAATGTGAGACCTGTGCTACCAGGTCCATTTGATTGCATTATTTTCAAGATGCCAGAACGTGTTAATGTTGGTGACGTTTGTATTAAAGTTGAGAAGACAGTTGAGAAAATTGTTAGTGCACAGAGTAAACTGGAAACATTTGGTGAAAAAATGGAATCAATAATTAAAGCAACAGTCTTTAGAAATTAGTAAAAATACTCGAGTTAAATGTAATGTTTACCGTTTAATAGAGTTAGTCAACAAACATTTATACAAATTACATTGAAGAAAATAAATAAAAAGCTTATCTTACAGAGTAATAGATTGATATAATCATGGTCATATTTAAGAAGATAATATGTAATTTTAGCAAATATTCATGCAAGATGTGACTGACATAAGTTGCTCCAATTCAAAGGTATATAAAAGATCAATAATTACACTCAGTAGTTAAGTATTTTAAAACCATATTTTCTCTGTAGGCAGTGAAAATAATATTGAATGCTCCATCATTAATAGTTAGTCTGGTAAATAGCTTAGTAAAAAGTGCATGAATAAATCTACGAAAGTTTTGCAATTTATAAATTGCTACCTTAATTAGATCGCACTTAAATTTCAACTTGTCATCAACTTACTATCAATGCTAAACGGTACTTCTATAAACTGTTTGGTTTACGAAGGACAGAAATCAAGTTTATTCCAAAAATAAGTTGACTATGATACATGGTAGTACAACTTTAAGATAAAGTCTTCAGAATTCCTTCGGTATTATTGATATGACTGTTTGATCATAAATATTGTACACAGATTAGAATGAACTAAATTAATTCATCATGTAAATAATTTGATATCCTAATTTATCATCAAAATGAGAAATTTAACTTTAGCTTACATTTCTCATTCTAATTAAACTACTCTATCATGTTATCCTGTTAAAAATCTAATATTTCAGATAAATCAATCTCAATAAACACTTTAACTAATAAAGAACATAATGGAAAAAAACCCAAACTAATACTAATAGTTTTAATGTGTAACTATCCATTTCCATAACAATTCTCATATATCAGTTCATAGAGATTAGATTTCATTAAAAAAATAAACGCTAATTCACTGTCTTTCATATAGATTTAATCAACTTGCATGTAATTGAAACTTCAAAATATATAACTATATTACATCATATATATACATGGTAATTAGATAAATAAAAGTGTATTATTATCAATATTAATAATAATAATAATAAAAATAACAATAAAGCACACAAATTCCCCATATGTTACTTTTATTAGGAAACAACTAATTTATTATAAATGTCAATCTTATTTCTAAATTTAATTAATGCACATTATTTAATAATTTTTCTTTTGAAAAAAAAGGAATTGTAATAGAAAGTAGAAATAATGCAGTTGAAAGTTTTGGTTTTTGCTTTATATTGAGTTTGATGATGATGATGAAGATGGTGTTTTATTTTTTGGATGATCTGAAAAGAAATCAATCTATGGAAGGTCTTTTTTCTTTTCTTGATGGAAATTCCATGTATGTTGTAGTTTGAAATATTTTTTTGTAATGAAAAACTGCTGTTGAAGGCATCGTTCTAACATTTCTGATGTAGTACTGTGATTATTATTTTAAACTAACTATTGATAAGGTACTAATCTAATGCTATTTATATTAGATTGTAAACCTAACGATTCTTTTTTATTAATATTGGTGGTCTAACCTAGATGTTGAAGTGAACTAAGGTGAATTTGTGTAATAAGCGAAAATTGATTTAATGGAATAGTATAGTATTGTATTCACTCCAAAACGGAGTGAAACTTACGGCATCATAGTGATGTTATTATTATTTTTATTGGAAGACTAAATATGGTGCACGGATACGTGGAGAACCATGCAGATAACAACCAGAATAACTTCACTGGCTGATTGAACTAGGAGAAGGAGGAGGAACAGGATGCAACAACAACAACAACATAGCGTATAGAGATGAATCCAAATAAAGGAAACACTAACTGATTGAATGATAAAGTATCAAACGATTATATGATTATAATAATTGCAATGATAAACAAATCTGTTTGTCAATCAATTCGATCATATACCTTATTATTCTTCATATAATATAGAAATCATTTTCAATCACCATTCAATCATTGTTTGCTGCATTATCCACCTGTTCAGTGTATTCATTAAGTTTATCTTCAATCCTGATTTAGTTTTGCATCAGTGTTCTACCTAATCCCTACTAGTTAGGTATTTATCTCATAAATATAAGCAATGTAATTTAACAATACTTCTCACTTGACCATTTTATTTCCAAGTTATGACTGTTATCGCTTAACTACTTCAAAATATTGTAATTACTGCTATATAAGTGACTATCATCGCTGTAGTAACTTAGTTTTTCTTACAGTCTAGAGAACACTAGTACAGTTCTATGTAGAATTGGTGTCTGTTAGTTTGGTTGATTACTTGTTTTTTTTCTTATAAATAGTTCGTATTTCACAAATTCGTGTTCGTTGAATTATGTTGTTCCGTTTCCATATTCTAAATCAATATAAAGTATCAGTTACTCCTTTCTAATATACTCAAGCTTAAAAGAAATACAATGAAGGATATTATATGTTTATGTTTTTAAATCTCTCTTGAGTGATGATTGGTCACAAATGAAATATTTGAAAATAACAAAAGGTAAAAATGTTCCAGTCATTTTGATTTGTTACTGTTGTCCTTTGGCACTTTACATGTCTGTCCACATAACGGTATCATTGTCAATCCTTTGGTCTAGTCTGTTATCTTTCCTTCTCTCTTCTTCATGAACCATTGCTTTGTTTATTACCAAAATAGGTACGTGATACAGACAAGAACTTCATTCAAATTAATTGATAACTGCAATAACAATAACTCAAACAACGGATGAATTACGTAATGGATTTTTTAGAAATCTTTCTGTTTTTCTCAATCTGAACTGAATAGCAAGAGTGTTAACATTCGAATATAGTCATATAGAATTGATGCTCACAATTATGACGAACTTTTTATCAGTTAATTGTTTCTGTTGTCCTCTTTAACATTTTTATCAGCATTTAGCACTTACAAGTTGTTAACTGTTATTCTTATTCAACCCCTCAGTATGGTTGACCTGTAACTATCCAAATGCCTATATTTTATTGTTTTCTACCTTAAAATTGAAGTAACTAAATCACTGTGTTCACAGCCATAACCTTATGTGATTATCAAACCAAAACTAAATGCCTCACCTGACCATATTGTTACATAATGGAATCATGGTACCGAGGCGTACAGCACCATTTTTCCGACTAAAATATGATGAATATGAAATGAATAAAGCCATAGCTGCGCCAGTATCGAATGCATTTTGACTAGCAGCAGCAACCCATAAACTAGGAGTAAACATACTACCTATAAACATAAAAATTAAACAAAATCATTATATAAATTTCATTTACTAATTTGACGTGACCTGTTTTATGAAAACAATAGTTACAATAACATAAGTATGCTGTATATTTTATTGAGCTAATGTTCTAGAAAATGAACAATCATAATAAGAAAATTGTATTGAGAGATTGATAGATGAACATTCTATTTTTTACTAAAATTTAAACCAGTTCACTGGGTTTATGTAGCTAACTGCTCATTTTTCTCCTTTCTTTAGATGACCAATTAATGAAAAATGTAGCCTGTATTTTATAAAAATGCACTGATTATTTTAATCGTTCTATAAATTTGTAAAGTACGCCACTTCTCTATACTCAACAACAACAACAACAACAAAAATGACTGAAAGTGATAATTAAATATAGTGTAAATATTTATTTATTTTTTATGCATTGCCTCCTGATTATTTCAACATTTAAAGCAATTAGTCCCTTTAATAAATTTCGATAGAACAATATGAAGACGGAGTTGATTTGGAAAATGTGATGTAATTGCACTATACATTTCATTTAATTGACATTTATTAATTTTCATATAATAGGCCCTGACAAGTTATATGTGTGACTAGATTGTTCAAAATGTATATAGCGAATACATCAAATTTTTAAGATTAACTCCATCTTCTCATTGTTCTATCGATATTTCAACATTGTTTTGAATTTTACTAATTTTTATTTTGTTTGTGTATTATTGTCAAATATGACACCTTGAACCAATGCAATTCTATGCAATATTTCATCATAGCTTATATTAAATTCTAATTGAGTTCTTTTTTTTGAATGTAATGTATTGACTTTGACAATGTATTAGCCATATTAGTTTATCTATCAATATGCTAAAAAGAACATGTTGATGATTTTTAAAATACCTAACATTTTAACTTACAGTTTGTTTTTAGATTTAAAGGATACCATACTAAATAAACTAATGGTTTTACAGAAAATTTGTTTGATGTATATGGTAATATTGTGGTGCGTGCTACTTATATTGATATAAGTAGTACATGACTCGAGTCAGGAATGTAATGTCTGGCAGCAGAAGATGGGGAAGATCGGGAAAGGAAGAGCGGGAGTAGAAAATATGGGTCTTCTATTTTACCAAGTAACTCTGTAATTTTGTGCTAAATATAATTCGATTGTCTCCAAGCGTGTTTTGTTCACTACAATATAACATCTATTCAATGATAGAAGATATCGATAAGAAATTAGCTGTTTTTTTTCTTTGAAAGACTGTTTTTTTCTTCTTGAAACAATCCTAATTTCGAGAAGTATTTTGTTCATTCACCAAAATTCATGTGATTTATTTTGAATTGATATTGAATGTATGATTAGAAATGATAGTTATACTTTAAATTATAAAAGTTCACTGATAATGCCAAAAATATAGTTTAACATGATTTTATGTTAAACAATTGCGTATAAATTGAACATTTTGCTATTAATAAGTTAAGTAAAAGGGATTTTGTTGAAAATTAAATAAAGTTGGTGATGTAAAATGAGTGAACTTCATCTTAAATGGTAAATCATATCATAGTCAATATAATCTCTAAAAGAATCTAATTACAACTTTGGGTATTTTTATACAGTGTACAGAAGTCCAATCTTAGATTGAAGCACTAGTTTAGTACCAAATTATTTCAAATGATTTTCTAAGTGACACTAGTCTATGATGAAAATCACAAACAAAAAGTATAATGTATCAAACACTGATTTTTATAAAATATATTTTGAAACTAACCCCAGTATGGAGTAAATAAAAATGTAATACCAACTTCTGAATATTTTCTTGTTAATGACCATCCGAATGTGAAAACTAATATACCTAATAACATAGGTACTAATACCATATTGGCTTTTTCAATCCATTTTATACCACCAAATATACATCCACCAACAATAACAACAGCTAATGTATGGGTTAATGCAGGCCAGTAAGATTCCTGTATAAAAGAAAAAGTAGAAAGGGAAAAATAAAAAAGTCTTTGTATGAATAAACAAAGAAATAATCATTATTAACTTTGTTGTTGACAATCTATATATTATTAATCATGTGAATAAACTTTTCACTATTGATTACTTTTCACCCATCTTAACAACCAATTTAGATTAAGATAAAATATTTAGCTATTTTAATAACATTCGTTTAACTGAAAAGTTAAATATTATATGAGGGAAAGTGTAGATCTATCATACCACATAAAACAGCGAAACAGTGTAGATTATGGATAAGTGTATCAGTTGTCATTAACTGTTTTATAAATGACTTCAGTCATCCACTATATGGCACCCCATGAAGTCTCTTGTATTCACAGTTGTAGACAACACTAATTTCACTGAAACAAAGACACCAAGAAAGCAGCTTCATTAAACTTCAAAGTTTCTCGTTAGTGTATATTCTAAGCATTTCCTGTGATTAAACACCCTGATAAGTTATCAACAGCAAATTAAACTGTTTCACAGTTAACATCATGAGCTGGTTTTAATTAAATGACCACTGTAAACGAAGAATCAGTTAGCAGATGTTTCGTCCTAGGGTTGAACTCTTCGTCAGTAGGCGTCCACGATCCCACGTTCTGATGACAAGCCGAGACCAGTGGTGTTCACTCATGTCGTTTGAGAACCAGTACATTGGGAGATAGTTGGGATATTAAAAACCGATTAAAGTTGGACATGTAAAACATTGGATACGAGCTCCGTGGTCTAGAGATACAATTTCTTAGTTTTCGATTCCTGATGGCTATCGAGTGCATCTTGGTTATCACTGCATTTTTCAACTAAATATCATTTCATGATGTTAGCTATGCAATTTTAAAAATCACAAATTCCCTGTGTAACTAATCCATTTGTTAAAATTCAATTCAGTACTGATGGTGCCTAGGTTTACTGTGTACTGTATAATGAAAATCTCACTTTAAACTGGACATATAGCTTGCAAAATGTTACTAAGTAAGGTGGTAAGGTGAAGAATTCAACTAAAAGACGAATTGATTTGAAGTTGTTTAAGTCATATCAAAACCCTAAGATTGTGTTTCCAAGCCTGTCTGAGGTTCTGCGTACAAGCAGCAGACTGGTCTATATTTGGTACAAAATACTTACTTGACTGTTTATGGTTGGTAATGGTTCTTAAGTGATTTTCAATTTGTGATGTAAACTAAGTCTAAACTCTTATAAATCAGTAGATTAACAGATGATTTCATTGTTTCTAAGTAAAATGCTTCGATTTACATCAAAAATCACGTATTATCATCATTATTACCCACTATTACAAAACTACTGAATAAATAGTTTTAAGAAGTTATGATGAAAATACTTACCTGTGCGAACTCATTGAAAATTTTAATACTTGTTTCTACATCTCTCGGTAAACTTGACAATGCACATGATTTATAGAAATAATATAAACACCAACCAACAATGACTGAAAAGTAAGCACTAAAATTTAAAATGAATTAAAATACTTTAGTGAGCATGGGCTCAAATTATTACATAAGAGTAATAAGCTACAACTAACATTTAACATGAAAGCTATATATATGAATAATAACAGAACAATAGAATTACTGAATATTTGCCTCATTCATTATTAAGTTCATCATTACTGTCCAATCAAGTGTGCTATTATGGACATTTAAACGCTGTGTAGATTACAGATAATTCTTTCGATTGTTTAGAGTAAATACAACTAGAGTAGTAGAAAACTAATTCTATTATGGATAACACAATTTATTTGTTAACTATTTCTGAACATGAAAACTAGTCTGTTTTGTATTAGATTGATAAATATACATATCGATGATACGAGTCGACTGAACGTTGATAATGTAACCTTGGGTGAACTCAGAGTATTTAGCTGTAAAGTTAGTAAAATATCATTTACTTATGAGAAACATTTGTCCTACAGATCACAAGCTGTAGTTCAAATTTGTAACATCAGATTATTTTATATTTATAATTCGAATACACACATATACAATCCTCATTTTGATAGCTTTTGAAACTTCCAACTAAATGTAACTGAAAGTAAAATTGTGACATGAATAAAAGAAAATAAAACTACCTGTATCCAGTTTTCGCTACCTGACTTTTGTTCATTTAAGATGCAGTAGTAGAGAAAGATTCATTTCTTTGAAATTCGACGACTTAGAGTATTTTTGTTGTGTAGAAATTTACTCAGAATTCTACTTACGTGATCATATAAGTTACAGCAACAATCCATCCTCCCAACCATACTAATTTATTGCCCAAAAATCTGTGAAATGCACCAAGTGGAGATGTTCGAGTAAATCGACCCAGTGTATATTCAACAATACTTAGTGGTAAAGACCAAACAAATAATGACATTGCCCAAGCAATGAGGAATGTTAAACTTCCTAAAATGATTAGAAAACCAGTAACATATCCAGTGATCACTAGTGAAACATTTTAGTTGAGTAATATTTCAGTGGTACCTTATAATCGAATTGTCAGATATATTTACTTTTTTCTAATGAATTTATTTACCAACTACATAAACAATAACTTCAATTTTCAACATAACCTTAATTGATAATTAGGTCATTGACCTCACTTTTTTTCGAGTTAGTTAACATGCTCATATGTACACTTCCATAATCACAATAATTAATAGAAAAAAACGTGATACGAATGTTATGAAAAAAACGTAAGCATGAATTCACTTTCACAAATGATTTGCTAACTTTAGTGTATTATTATCAATGAAATCAGTAAGTGTTTATTTCAAATTATTTGGTTTATACTAAAGATAAAGTGAGCATTCCCATTGAATCAATTTTATCTAAACTGTTCTTTCTTGCCTGATATTAAATAGACATCATTCTGTATATGGAAAAACAAATATTGGTGAGCAAAATTTGTTTTATGCAACAGTAATACATTCTCTGAAAAAATGATCAAGTGCAGTTTAAAACAATAAACTTCGAAAATAAAAATTCACCAGAATATAACCTTTAGATTGAACGATAGTCATTAATGTGTCAGATAATGAGATCGAGCGTACTATATGCCAATATACCATAAATTAATTTATTGACACAGTCATTTACCTTATGGATAATGTAATTAATTCTGATGGAACCAACAGTTGGTCAGATACTTTAGTTTTACTTCAGTAAAATGTTGGTGTAAAATAATATCATGTCTATATATTTTATATAGAAGCTACTTACCCTACATACTATTTAACTAGCTAACTTTTATCATCATAACAAAATATTTTAACGGGTTCTAGATATACTATGTGTTTAGTAAACTTCTTAAAACTAGACAAATCTATGGTGTCTAACACCAACAAGGTAAATCAAAGTACTGATTTTTATGATAAATTGTTTTAATCTTCGATCATTTATAGCTAATGGTACTCTCTGAGTAGGATTTTACAGTCAAATGATGTAATATTTAAAAAAACATTGGTTATATGTATTTAAAAGTATCAACATAGAAAACTAAAAACAGCAACTGACCTTGAGAATAACTGGCTGTGGCAATAATACGTGGAAATCGCCATATATTTCCTGTTCCTATGACACAACCCAAACAAGAAAGCAACACTCCTATTGAAGAATTAAATGTGGATAATTCAGATCTTTGTGCATCTTTAGAATGTGTTTTCAAATCTTGTTCAGACGATGGTAACTGATTAAAACAGTAAATTTTAAATAGAATAAAATTTTTTAATGAGTACACTAAAATGCTGAACTTAATGTCACATCATTTAACATAAAATTTATTTAGTGAAATAGTACATTGATGGTTTAATGAAAATGAACATTGGAGTGAAATTTAAATCATAAGTCCTTATGAAAATAATTTATTCACAAATTAAAATATTTATATTTACCTTATCAATAGATTCATGAATTTTCCCTGAACCACATTCCACAAGATCCATATCTGACTTAAATGTTGGGTCATTTAAATCAACCGATAAAGCTTTCCAAAATAAGACTCCATTTTTACATAGTATTCCACCCATTGGTGGGACGATTATACGGCTTTTTTTAAAATAAAAATTATGAACAGCTTGTGTTCACAAATCTGATTAAAGATGATTATATAGGTTTTAGACAATTAGTTTGGTCACGATCTGCGGTTTATAAATGGACTTCTTATTTGTCAAAAGAATTACAACCAGTCAGATAAACACACATATGGGTATAACAAAATAATTCACCAATGAAATTCATTGTTGAAGGTCATAGTGGAAAATGTTGATCGTTAACAGACATGCGCAATATTTGAATGTCAGGAATTTAAAAATAAAACAAACTCGTAACAGTAATATGTTTTTTTGTATTTTGTTAGACAGGAACAATCTCCCAGGCTAAGTGCTATAACAATTATCCAGATTAATTGATTTAATTGAATGGTTTAAATGGAGATTTATGAAGATAAATAAGATTTAAAGTGTGAAGGTGGAAAGCGATTTAAATTGACTTTTCTAAAATGTCCCTGAATATTCAACTTGTTAATACAAGTGTTCATAATAAATTGTTACTTACTTAAGTTGAAATTTTATTGAACTTATACATTTGAAAGCCTTAACAATAAATAATTTGACCAGCCATCGAAAATATTAAACCAGTCAAAACTTAGACAATTTAGCTCACAGCGTTTTATTCATCGTTTAGAAATAAATTAAAAATATTATAGGAATGACTTCCTTTTATCTTATGAAGATCCTAACCGAAATTGGTGTCGGTTTCTTCCTTAACAGTTCAAAACTTCTTCAACTTTGCAAGAATAAACGAGTAAAATGTTTTTTTATGAAATGCTTGTTGATAAACTTAATATGAATATTCTTATATTAAACAAATCGACGGGACATCACAAACAGAATGGACAGCATAAGATAATCATATATGCTAGTTATCGTGCTGTGATATGAAAACTAAGGCCCAATCAAGTCTAGGCCGATCTCTGCGTTGATGATAACGTAATAACTGGTTTCATTTTTCAAAAGTGCATTTGATGTTACACTTTACTATGAGTATTAGATTGTAATATGTAATAAATATACTATTTTCCTCAACCAGTTACATACAAAATATCATTGAGAGTTATACTTGATTACGATAGGCTCATCTTTGAAAAATGCTTTCAACATAAAAATTACCTTTAAAAGATATCACTCCATGCAACTTCCTCAGCACGCGTTATCATTGGTAATTAGACCGGTTAAATCTGTATTCTGCAACTACTTGAATCATCAATAAACATTATTGTGTTAGATTAATGTAATGAGAATGGGCCGTTTTTCATATCACTGAATAAAATTTTTCGACATAGTTACCCAATAGTTTAAAGGATGTGCTAGAGGAAAGAAAATTAGATTGAAAAGTGCCTGTCAGGATTGATGTAATGATAAAAACGACAGAATCCTTCGATTGAGAGGTAAAAAATGCATGTAGTTATCGTCAGTTTGGGAATATGTCATTTGATAATATAAAATAAATTGTACACACTTAACAAGGTATGTGTTTACGCTCTGGTCGTTGGAATGTATATTCAAGGCTATTGTTACAAACATTAGAGAAATTTTTGAACTTGTTTACTGAAGAATTAAAAGTTACTAGTGGCATGAAAATACTGATTTGCAGCTTTGATTTCGCAATAACTAAAAACTGCGTAATAAAAGACCTCATAATATTTTAATCAAGTTCTTCGAACATCCAAATAATCGAACTCAGAATACATTAGCATACAATTTCATATAACATAGAAAGAAATGGCGAACAGCATAAATATTTGGTAAAAGAATACAGCGATTGGTTGTGGTTATGTATTAACTATCTAAAATTTGATTAAATTACGAAACGTGATTCATTACTTGATTGAATGCAATATATAGGTCAGCACAAGTTTTGGTGTTAAGAAACCACGTTGGGTTTCTTGGTCACTTCGTTGATAAGTTTTAAAAAAGCTGACATTATTTGAAACCAGGTCATTTCAGAGCACTGTAGATAGTTTCTAAGTATCATATGTTCAATTACGTATTAAATAATATTGATTTCAGATTCTTTAAAGTTTGCAACCTCTTTATAAAGCATAATGAATAAGACTGTGATCTTTGAATGAGTAGAACAATCTCAAAAATCTTTAATTGAACGATTACAGCAAACGAACCAATATAGTTGCATAAGTGAACTGCAATTTCATTGAAAATCAGTTTGTCTCAAACAACGATTTAAAGATTCAGACCACTAATATTATAGTGCAATCAATTTTGCACGATAAGAAACATTAAGGCTTTGTCTGTTGTAATTTACGTGTTACACTTTCCAGAAAATAGTTATTCTATAAAGTAAAACGAGTTTTTATCAATAGTGTACGTTACCCATCACTTTCAACATAATATCTTACGATACAGATTTATTATACAGACTAACTATAAGACATTGAAGTAACTATAAAATATCAGCACGCCTGAGGACTAGATTGGTTTGGGATACTACTGTCAGTATGAATATGATTTCGGTTGCGATTAATCATAAAGCGTATTTCCTGTTAATGAAGAAGACCATAAATAATGTGACATTTATTAATAGATTTAGACACATCACTAGTGTATACGGCTTAAAAAAGAACGTTAGCTTACACAACTAGAGACAATTCAACTTGAAACATATATGTTTGTGGTCCATATTGATGTCCACAGTTGTGATAGATGTATTATTCATCGACAATAAGTTGTTTCACAATCCATGATCAGCTTACATGAATTCAGGTTGGGCCTTTATATTTGTATGTCCATCGTAGAAAGCTAACTGGTGTTTTAAGTACAAGAAAAAAGGAACAACACCTTATCATCCTTTGAGTCAGACAGTTAAGTAAATAAACCAGATGAGCTCTCAAACACTATGAGAAGCAATTTTCAAACAAGAGATCATAGAAAGAGGCTTTTGCCTAAAAAATGTTCTGCTATCATGTTGTTGCAGTGTTCAGGTACTAACATGACATAGCTAATGAATTATGGGGAATATAAATGTACTTTTTTACACAACCGGTAAATAAAGAATTTCTCTTAGATTCAATAATCTTGCTAGTCTACATCCCAGAAATTTATATAGATATGCCCATATACTTCGGAACAGCATAAAGAGTAGAAACAGGATATTGATGAAACACTACTGCCTGGAAAAATAATATGACTAAAGATCGAATAGTAGATAAATTACATCAAAAACCAATTGATCCATGTAGTAAGTAGCAAGATAATTGGAAAAATTCAAATATGAAGGAGAAAAAACAAGCGACTGAAGTTTGTCTATAGTAGTTCATTATAGAGTTTTTAAATTTTTTTTGCTCAAATTCAATTTATCTGTGCACAGTATTTTTAATTGCTCTAATCTATAAATACTTTATTTAAAAAAAAGTTTCTGTTCAATTTCTATGCAAATCGAAATGAGAAAGAAATGAACCGATTTGAGCTTGTTTTCCTAATATTGAATAGCTCATACGGTAACAATAATATTTTTTTCTTTATAACTTTGGAATTGATTTTTCTAATAATAAGGCTTGATTTCAACGGTTTTTTTCTCTGTTGATTTAATGAATGAGGAATGCGTTGAAGTTAATGCTTCATAGTGGATAAACTATTATAATACTGAATACATTAAGCAAGTTGATAAATGATTTTCTCATGTTTAAAATCATTTTAGTTTTACGATTTGGTTAAATTCTTAGTTTTTAGTTAAGCCAAAATTAAATTAAAGTTTATCTACATCCTATTGAATGATATAATTTCAGTAGGCTTTCAACTATCTGACCAAGTTCTACTTTATATTAACTGTTTATTCTTATTATTTAAAAAAAAACATGACTTGAATTTATTCACTCTTAACAAGCTACTTGTACTTTCTTGTTGATGACATTCAAAGTGGAATTTCGACCATTTTCTGTTGGAATATATTCTATATGGAGAGGATGTTTCAATAATTTTGGATTCTTACTGTCTGTTTTATAAATTTTCATTCTTTAACAAATAAGATGAATATGTTAGGATTTTGATCATTGGTTAAGAAAAGTAAAGTGGAGAGACATACAAACAGATAAGATAATATTGAATTTATCAATAAACATTCACTTATTTAAGCTATTACTTAGAACTAAAATAGAGAAATGTAAGTTACATTAATATACTGAAGAAAAAATTAAGGGCGGATAATGTTTGTCACAGTAGACTAGAAATCATTGTTAGAACAAACTAGATATCTGTCTGTAATTGGTTTATTTCATAAATTACAAGTTTTAACATACTACTTCATGCTGAAGAGAAATTCATGAACCTACGATTAGATTCGAGGAATATGTTTGGAAAATCTTGTTTATTATATCATCTTTTTAAGTTATTCTTTTTCATTTCATACATTATACTAAGATTTACCAGTGACGTTATTAACTACATAGTTTAATTATGTAGTCATTTCACTGTAGTACAATCTGTTAACTAGTATTTCTGACCTCATATCTTTCTTTATAGGACTTTATTTTCAACATAAAAATACTTATCATTATAAACTAAGAGGTTTTTTTGTATTTTGTCTTCTTCTTGTTTTTATGATTTACTGTCCTGTTTTGTATTCACCTTTATTGAATGAGGATTGTAGAACTGTATTTATAATAACATTAATAATAACATTAGGGAATTCACGGTTGATGAAAAGCTTCAAAATAAGATGAATTCATTTCATTCTGTATAGTTTAACTCGTTTACATTTATTTTAGATTACATTCAAGAGAAATGACTAATCATGAATACAGTGGTATTTAAAACAATATTATATTGAAAAATACAACGTTCTACGGGATTAAAACATTAAATCTCATAGTAATATTGGTTCTATTCACATGGATACGTTTTATAACGAGCCCTTGAATGAATAAAATTTACAAGAATGTGATCACTTCACTTTATTTTACTAGTCCTGTAGAATGTATTTATTATCTGTTTACTTATCATTTTCTCTGATTATTCTGCTAACAAAGTATACTAGTACGAATCGTTGTAGTTATTTGTTAAATTTCCCATTTGTTATTCTATTCGTTTGATCAATTTATTGATAAAATTCACAAACGTTTTAGT